TGAATCTCAGGAGAGACTTTGAACTTTGGACTTTTAACATTGCTGAGACTGCTATAAAATATAGAGACTTTGGAAGTTGGACTAAATGTATTTTTTTATTATGCTATGGGTAGGTATGGCCCCCATAGACTCGTGTGTGTGAACAAGTGTAAGGGGGCCAGGGAGTGGAATGTGATGGTTTGTATACGCTCCGCCCAGGGAGTGGCACTACTAGGAGGTGTGGCCTTTTGGGAGTAGGTGTGGCCTTGTTGGAGTAGGTGTGTCACTGTGGGTGTGGGCTTTAAGACCTTTGTCCTAGCTGCCTGGAAGCCAGTCTTTTCCTAGCAGCCTTCAGATGAAAATGTAGAACTCTCCGCTCCTCCTGCACCATGTGTACGTGGATGCTGCCATGCATGGACTGAACCTCTGAACTTAATATAAGCCAGGCCCAGTTAAATATTGCCCTTTTAAGAGGTACCTCGGTCATGGTGTCTGCTCACAGCAGTAAAACCCTAACTAAGACAGGAGGATTGTCTTGATAGTTAATTGATATAGGACAGTCTAGGTTACTGTAGGCAGATGTTCCTGGGCTATAAGAAACCCAGCTAAGTAGGAAATGGTGAGCAAGCCAGTAGGCACTGTTACATCATGGACTCTGCTTCAGTTACCTGCCTGATTTCTCATTGATAAACCTAGAAGTGTAACATGATAAACCCTTCCTCCCTGGAGTTGGTGGGTTTGTTTTTGTTTTTTGTTTTTTGGTCATGTACTTGCCACAGCAACAGAATGAAGCTAATACACAGGTGGCATCTACTTCCCTCCTCCCAACTCAGAGGTGTAGCTGAGGAACTGGGTGGGTATAAAGCAGGTCTCAGGGCTTAGATGATCCTCCCCGCCAACAAAATATTTGCTGGTTGGCCTCTGACAAGCTAGCGGACCCTTGACCCAGGTGAAAGAAATTAAACTGCAATCTCACTCTTTGCATCTGGTAATATCCTTAAGTTCCATTTCTATGTCTCTAAGGCTGGCTGGAATGAAGCCAGGCAGAGTGGGCTGGGGCTCACAGGCTCTGGGTTCTTGTCCCATGGTGACAATCTGCCCTACTGGTTCCCAATCTTGCCTTGAGATTGTGGAATAATAAATGAACTCTGGCCGGGTGGTGGTGGCGCATGCCTTTAATCCCAGCACTTGGGAGGCAGAGGCGGGCAGATTTCTGAGTTCGAGGCCGGCCTGGTCTACAGAGTGAGTTCCAGGACAGCCAGGACTACACAGAGAAACCCTGTCTCAAAAAACCAAAAAAATAAAATAAATAAATAAATAAATAAATGAACTCTGATTACACAGGGTGTCTCTCATTCACCTACTTAACACTTACAAGCTGCTGTCTACTATGTGCCATATCAGACACTCTTTAAGGACATAGACATATTTTTTATATTTTTTATTTACAGAATACAATTCCATTTCCCTCTTTCATTTCCACCCTCTAAACCTTCCACAAATCTCTTTGCTTTCTTTCAATTCCTAGCCTTTTTCCAGTTATTATATACATATGTATGTATATACTACATATGTGTGTATATATACATATACATATATATATATATATACTTAAATTCGTAAGTACAACTTGCTCAGTCTATATGATATTTATACACGTTTTCAGGGCTGACCATTTATTATTAGATAATCAGTTGGTGTGCTCTTCCCTGAGGAAGGCTATTTCTCTCACTCCCAGCATTCCTTGTCTGTTCTCGTGTAGAGCTGAGGTCCCACGAGCTTTCTTGCATCAGGGTTAGCATGTCTATTGTTGTCCTTGTTCAGATCATGTTTAAATGGTTGTATTGGTGAGGCTGTAGCTTCTGACATTTCCTTCAAGACACAATATTACAGCAAACTCCCTGTTTTCTGGCTCTCTTATAATCCATCTGCTCCCCTTCTACAATGTTCCTAAGTCTTAGGCTCAAAAAGCTAGGACCAGGTTTCAAATATATATACACTATATAGTACATTGTGGTAGTGATGTAATTTAGGAGAAATGAGACACGTGGAAGCTCAGCGATGGTGGGGACTTGTTTCTTTAAGGGTCTTAGGTGACATGAACAGACCACCTGTATGAAGCAGTAATACCAATGTATTCCAGGTGGAGGGAGCAGGCGTGCAAAGGCTCAGGGTGCTTAGAGACAGTAGGATGACTTTGAAGCAGAAACAGAGAAGATGCTGGGTTGCAAGGCTTGAGAAGTAAGTAGAAGAAATGTTAAGTGCTACAAAGTCTATGTTCTGGGCCACTGTGTGACCTGCTCTGTTGACTTAGAAGGAAATTGTGTGGATACCAAGATGAGTCCCAATGTCATAGGAGCTCCTTTGGAATCTCAGGCATGGATACAGTAACAGAAAGACCTGCAAGGCTTCAAGTTGGAAGACCAGAGGCTGAGGGAAACCTGGGTAGTGGGGACTGCAGACTGATCAGGGTCTGGAGTGTGTTTCTGGCTAGACAGTAGAGTGGACAGAACAGTTACCTAGGCCTTACCTTCTTCAAGATGACTCTGCCATGGTTTCCAGATTGTTCCAGGGCCTCATTTCTGTCTCCCCCTGGTCCAGCCTGCCAGACCAGTATGCCTATATTCACCCAATTTCTTCTCCGAAACAGAAGCTCCTGGATAGCAGTGAGTAGGCTGGAAGCGAATATTTAACCAAGCTACTAAAGCCTTGAACAACAAACAGAAGCTGGAGGTGGGGATGGGGCATGACTAGTGGGGTTCTGGATAACTCCTTCCACTGGCATGAACACTGACTTAGTTGGGTGTGTTGGTTGGTTAGTAGTGTCAATCTAGAATTCTAGAATCTAGAATCTACTGGAAGATGAGCCTCTGAGAATACCTGTGAGGGATTATCTTATGTTAGTAGATGTAGGAAGACCCAGCTTGGGTGGGAGCATTCTGAGCAGGAGTTCTAGACAATGCAGAGAAACAGCTGTACTGCCAGCATGTATGCATTTCTTGTTATCTCTCCTGGCTGTGGTTATGATCATCTGCTTCAGCCTCCCACCATCCTGACTTTCTAACTAGGACTGTGAACTTGTTCCTTTAAGTTGCTTTTCTTAAAGCTTTTTTATCCTAGCCACAGAAAAAGAGACCAAGATAGAAATTGGCTCCAAGTGGGACCAACGTTGTGCTAAACCTGACCCTGTAGTTCGTAGGCCTTTGAAACTGTTTTAATGTGGACTAGAAAGCCCTCAAGTGCTAAAAGCAGAATGGTCTGTCCCGATAGGTGCTTGGAAGACAAAACTGCTGAGAAATCCAGGCAGTAGAGGCCCATTTCGAAGTTCCTTAAGTTGGGCTGAGTGTTTTTTACAGTGAGGTATTGTGTCTTTGACAAGGGGTAGAGTTGGGGTCGGTGTAGACTCTAAAATCAATTAAAATAGGATTCTGGGCATCTGAAGGATTTTCTTGATCATATTAACAGATGTGGGAAGACCCTGCACAGTGGTTCTAGAGGCTTTCCACATATCCGTCTTGTTCCCTTTAGATGTAATCACCTGCCTGAAGCTTTAGCATCTGGACTTTCAAACTTTTTAAGTTGAATAGTCCTTCCCCTGTTGAGTCCCCCACCCCCATCCCAACATAGACCTAGCTAACCTGGAACTTGTTATGCAGATCAGGCTGGCCTTAAACCCAGAGATTCACCTGCTTGTCTCCCTGGTGCTGGGATGAAAGGTGTGCACCACCACACCCTGCTGTTAAATTGCTTCTGTTTGGGTTTTTTACCAATGTGCCAACTGCAACTAAGACACTGGGTGTTTTAGAACTTTCTGCAAAAGATCTAAATGACAAACCTCTAATCCTTGAAGCACAGTGTTTTACTGCTTTGCTTCATGTTCGCAATGACCAAACACGACCCACCCTCCTCTTTCCCGTTCGAATACTATCCTAATTCCAGTGTCAGAGAAAAGACTGGGAGAAAATGCTGGTGGAAGAGAAGGGGCATCTTGCTTTTCCTGTAAAAGGCCTTTTTTTTTGAGGGGGGGGGACGTCCTTTTAGCCATCCTACTGTGTGGCTATTGATTGCTCTGTAGGTGAGAAACTGAAGTTGGAGAGAAGTGGTCAGCAGAGCTGATCCTTGTTCCTTTAATCTTGCCAGGCATGGGCGTGCACCTCCTTACTGGATCAGTGAGTCAAGAATCTAAAGAATCTGTTGGCTATTGTCCTTCCTCTCTGTACACCGAAGGAGACATCTATATTTCACACCCACTCAACTAACTGCATGGGGATATGGCAAAAATGCATTTATTGGAAATGTTCAAAGTTTGACAAAAGCAAGATCTGGTGGTGCATGACTCTAAAAAAAAAAAATCTTAACACTCATACACATAAACTTGTGGTTACATTCAGTGCCAACTCATTACCAGGGCTGAGGACAGAAGAATCCTTTCCAGAAGGCTTTGTCCCTAAATCCAGGATCTAAAATGGAGTTTACACAGTCCAAGTCTGTGTCAGAAGCCTTTTCCTCTAACACATATTCCAGAGTCCTGATTCTCGGATGTTTTGCTTTGCTGTTCCTTCCTAGACTTGAGGATCTCCTTGGGTTAAGATCCAAAATGTGTTTTTTTTTGGGGGGGGGTGGGGGAGACTATGTCAAACACTGAACAGTTGTGCTTTAACAAGTGCTGCACAGTGCCAAGAAAGTCAGAGCTCAGCTTTCCCAACTACGAGAATCCCAAAGGTGACTCTTCAAGAAGAGAACTATGAATGTGCTGAGACCTGGCCCAGCGTGGGTTCTTTGCTTTACTTGCTCTGAAGGTAGCCATTGTACTTCCACACCACATGGAAAGACAGAGGTCCAACAGGGCTGTTGTTTGTCCCAGCTAGCCACCATCTCATTATTACTTTAACTAGTCTGTTGAGGGCAGGTCAGGTCTAGCTCCGTCAGAGGTGCCAGGGCTCAGGCTCTAACTCTAACCTCAATCATAATATGGTGGCTCTGCCATTCGCCCGGTAGCAGTAAAAATCACAAAACACTCATTTTCAAATAATGTATGGCTTTTTTGACCCCATCAAATAACTTTATTCACACAAACGTCCCTTAATTTACAAAGTTTCAGTCATTCATACACATTAGGGGGAATCCACAGTGTTCAAAGAACTTAAATATGTTATCATACCAACCCAAGTAAGCCAAGTACAAAAAATATTCATATAAAGTTGTTCACACATAGGTCCTATATTACCAGCTTCTGTGCAAAAAAAAAAAAAGTAAAATTATTTTAACTAGTATTTGAAACTAACCTTGTGCCTGGCTTTAAACCTCCCTTAAAACCAAGTCTGACCCACATGAGCATTAAGAGTAACTGAAATATCCTCCAGTTTTGATGGCAAGGAGCCCTTGGGGTAAAAGTGTTTTGGGGGTGGGGGGAAGTCCCCTAAATAGGCTTCCTTCTTCCTATGATCTCATCTGGATTTAGAGGGGAAAAAAAAGGCCCACTCGTTCTGGTACTCTCCCCGATCCTAGGGGTCCTAGGCAACGAATGGCAGTAGACTTGCCCCTCAGTGATGGCTGTGGATACTGGTATCAGCCAATGGTATGAGTACCTACTGGGTTCTCCTTCCAGAGTATGTGTCCAGACTAGGCTCCTTTCCCTCAAAGCCGGGCCCGTGCTGACCTGTGTGCACAAGCTCAGAATCAGAGAAGGCAGAGGCCTCAGCCTCCAGAGTCTGCTGGTCCGGAGAGCTGAATAACCAAGCTTAGCCAATTCTGAGGTAGACTCCCAGTAGCTGTTTGGAGCTGACAGATAGGGAGAGAGAATCCAGTTAAGGGGAGAGGTAACCAAAGACCCATCTAGAGTTGAGCCACTAGTGCCCCCAGATGGGGACGGAGGAAGAGAGGTGGAAGAGCTCATGGTGGGCAGGGCTGGAAGGGGCACATCAGAGTAAGGCGAGGGTTGTAGAGTCCCCTCCTTGGAGGATAGCAGTCAAGCTCTTGCTCTTCCCACTCTTCAAGATACCTAAAGGTTAAAAGCCATATAACCCATCCCTCCAAGTTGTCTTCTCAAACAGTAAACAGCTAATAGCATAAACAGACTCCCACAATGCTCTTTTCCTCTTCTTGGAATAAGATTCACACAAAAACAATATAACTTTATTGCTGCAAACACTGGTTTTCTAAAATAGTGATATGTTAGAGCTGAGAATCTTGAAGGAGGGAAATGATGGTGGGGATTGGTGGGGCAAGAAGACTATGAGGAAAATAGGGAGTGGTCTTAGCACCACAGGGTTAGGAAGCAGAGTAAGTCAAGGGCCTCTGCTCACTCCAGGCTTCTCTGTCTTCACCACCACTGCAGTTACTACTGGCAGTGCCACAAAGGAGACCAGGCCCTATCCAGAGTCAGATCTTCACCTAGTGTGGCCGCATTTCTCCTCCAGCTGTAAACAGGTTATTTTCTTTAAGTAAACATTAAAACATCCCTCAGGCAGCCAAGGGCAAACCCTACAAGGTGGGACTAGTTCCTACTCCCCGCCCCAGTACCCCTAAGCTAGGTGAGGCTAGAGCCTGAACCTTGGTCTCCTGTGACCAGAGGGGGTTAGCTGGTGCCAGTTTGGATGGTGCAGTTGGTATCTTCCTGGCTAGAGCTAAGAACAGGGAGGGACAAAGGCAGTGTGCATATGTGGGCAGCAGCATTTGGTCCTGGTCTAAAGCTGCTGTGAGGGCCACAGAGGCAAGAGGGAGGTGTGTCTGGCTATAGCCCACAGGAGGTGGCGGGGGCTCAGGTTTCTTTCCCCTGTGGCTATATACAGGTCGGAGACAGTGACAACAAGTGACAATGAACCAGAAGACAGCCACCTGCTCCTGGCTGAGTCTGGACAGGGGAAGACAATGGAGTAAGTAAGGCACTAAGATCTGTCCTGCTGACTCCCTTCACCGACAGGGAGCTGAGCTCAGAGCACAGGGAACTGAGGCCAGGCTAGTCTCCCAACAGGCAATCCTCACCACCACCCAAAAGGACAAACGTTATGAGTTCTGCAAACTTCTAGAATGTGAACAGATTTAACAAACTTGGAGGCACCTAAGATCAGATGCCCCAGAGCTACTGGCAAGCCTGCACCCCAGATAGAGGCAGCAGAGGGAAGTAACAGGAAAAGGATGTTGGCCCCCAAAAGGGACAGGGAGCTGGACACTGAGAAGACTACAGAGCCCACAGGGGTCCTGACCCACCTGCCACAGCACAGCCAGCATGTCATGGGGCCAGTTTCCAGCTAGCTGGCAGGTGATGGCGTGGATTACAGGGAGGGAAGGATGCAAATAGCAGGAGCAGGCACTTGGGGCTCAAGACCTGGCTCTCACTGGAGCCAGAGAAAGAGGTGCAATCTCCAGGCCAGAACCAGCTGGGAGTTATGGAAGATAAGGTGCAGGGAAACAGGTACCCCTCACTAGGCTACCCACCTGCAACCTACAGGGGCTACACTGACACCAAGAACAGTACGGTGGGAAGCACTATAACTCAGGTCTTGGTTAGAGACGAGAGAAGAGACGAGAGAAAAGAATAAGGTAGACAGATAGTGATAGGCTAGGCTGAGCCGTGAGCAGGATGAGTTGGGGTCCTGAGCTCAGAGGCTGCTTTTCCCATCTGCTCAGGCGCAGAGACAGCAGCACCCCTGGGAAGGGAGAGCAGCAGAACAGAAATGGAATGTATCTTGCAATTAGGGGATGTCACTGTTCCCCCCCTCCCAGGTGCCACTCTGATTAGGCTCAGGAGGCTGCTTATAAAGTCACTCAAGGAGACGAGATGCTATCACAGTGCAGCACAAGGTGAGGTTCCCACCTGCAGTCATGCACCCACAGGAACAGCAGCTGATCTCTGGCCAAGAGGAGAAAGAAACTTTGGTGCTGAGTTGCCTAAGAGAAGGCTGGAAAGTGAAAAGTGGACAGAGCTAACTAAGCAAGGTCAGCTGTCAGGGTCAACTGTGCTAGCCTTCCCTGCACTAGAGGAACAAGGGACCCCTGCTTCAGGGAAAGCTCCTCTGACCTCTTATTTCTCTATCCATCCTGTGCTAGTTTAGGAAGGATAAACAAGAATAAACACAAATACCTTGTTTCCTTGTCCAGAGACCCCATCCCACGAGGCCAGAACAAGGTGAAAAGTCTGGAAGCAACCAAAGGTGCATCTAAGTAGAGAGCAACACCAGAGAGAATGGTGGGGTCCTTGAAGCAGCTGAAGGAGGGGAATCTTCCCTCAGGAGGCTGTAAGAACACTGCAAGGGAGTTAAAGTGTGTGCGGCAGTCATGGGGATCTAGGTTGGGGGTGCTTTATATGACTAGCTGCTATATGGGCCTCTAATAGCCACCTGGGCACCCCATCTGCCTCATACCTCCCTCTTTAAGGCAGGTCTTTTCTCTTCTTAGACAACAGTTGACATAGAGGTTGATCACCTAACATGAAGTCCCTGGGGATAAGAGAGATGGCGCTTGATAGTGTTACCCAGTGGTGACACTAGGAATCCTGGTACACGGGGCACACTTTCACTGTGAGGAAATGATGGCGGCGGCCAGTTGAGGGTACTCTGCAAGGATCAAAACTGGATCTTGGGACCTAGGTAGTCTCTATGACAGGCTGAACCTATAGCACATAGAGAAGACAATCCAGGAGGAGAAAGTGGAAGGTACTGGCCTCAAAGTAGTGACAAGAGGCCAAGGAAGACCAAGTCTGATAGGAAATTGGCACACCAGTCCTAACAGAAGATAGGCTTGTGCAAAGAGAGGGGGGTGAGGTCTCTTCATCCAAGTGATGGGATGACCATTCTTGGTCTCTATCCTCAGGGACCCCGGTTGGAAAGGGCAGAAGAGGGAAGCAACGCCCACTGTAGTGAGTCCTGGTGTGGCCTGAGGCTCCCAAGAACTTAAAGAGAACCAAACCTATGGTTTAGGTCTTCTTTCTAGAGTCCCTCTGGCCAAACCCTGGTGTTCCTCTTCTGAGAGGTTCTTCATCTCTGATCCTGTCTGAGGTCTGAGGGCTGGTCAGGCCCAGCCCATCCAAGGAGTTCAGCAGCTCCCACATCTGGAGGGAGGCAACTCAGAGGCTGCTTCCTTAGATCTTCGTATCCCTTTCCAGGAGAAATACCAAACTCTGGGTAGACAGAACTTCTGTGGGAACTGGGATGCTAAAGCAGAACTGAGATGTGTGTAAGAAAGAAAACAGAACATGAAAGATAAAACCAAAATTGCTTCCTAACTTAAGAAATTAACAGATTAACAGTGACTATATGCATAAGCTTTGTCCACATTCAATGTTCTTAAAAAAACAAAACCAAAAAAAGAAAAAAACCCAACAATAAAAAGGTGCCTGTCCAGAGTGTAGCCTTTTGCTCTTCAGAAGTCTTGATGGTTTAATGTTTAAAAAAATTATTATAATAATAATAAAGGAAAAAGAAAAGGGTAGAGTGGGAAACCCAAGCAAAAGCTTCACATTGTGGGAGGTCCAGCTGTCAGGAGATCACCACCACCTGTACCCTCTGCCATCCTGTCCGAGACATGATGAGACTGTGGGTCCCGAAGGATCGACCTGGAAGACAGAAGGCAGGCAAGGAGTGGACATTGGATCAGTGGGTGAAGGTATGAGCCAACACCCAAATCAAACTGACCCCAAAGCTGTGTACACTGTTTTCTAAATACTTTACATGAAATAAGCTGAGCTTCTACTACCTTTTCAGGTAAGGAAACTGATGTCTCCAAGGTCATATGACTAAGGGAAGACCCTGGAAGAGGGAATTTAAGGCATGTTGGTTCCAGCTACCAATCTGATCACAAATCCTATACCTTTTTCCTAACTCCAGCTTCCCTGTACCCCACAGAACCCACTCCAGATAGGTTGTCCCCAGACAACCCTAATAGTATTGGTTCTATTCAGCCTTTCTTCTCCACTCTTTTTGTTTGTTTTTTGTTTTGTTGTTTTGTTTTTCAAGACAGGGTTTCTCTGTTTAGTTCTGGCTGTCCTGGAACTCACTCTGTAGACCAGGCTGGCCTCGAACTCAGAAATCCGCCTGTCTCTGCCTCCCAAGTGCTGGGATTAAAGGCGTGCGCCACCACTGCCTGGCTTCTTCTCCACTCTCATCAATAACTGCTGTCATAGCCTCGAAGCAACCCCTGTAAGATTTTGCAATAGTGTTCAGCATCTGCGAATCTGCATACACTAAGTTAACCAACAAGTTTTAAGGAGACTACATTACCTCCTCCCCTTCCCGCCTCCTTGATCAGGTAGATGCAGAGCAAGGTTTCCCAGAACCGAGTGATAGGTCCCACTCTGCCACAGCATCATCTACTGCCGTTATAACTAAGTAAGCATTTTGGAGACAAAACTGTGTCTTATTCAGTTCTGCCAGCTGACTGTACAAATTCAAGCCCTCTGTTCTTTGGTCTCATAACCTATGTCACAAGCGATTTTAAAGATCACATAAACTAAGCTGTGCATGGCTAAATGAGACAATAAATGTAGAGCTGTCTGAATATTAGAGTATACTTATGGGACCACCATTGTGTTCTGTCTGCTATTGCCTGAAACATCATTACATGTAACTGTGCATATATGCATATGCATATGCATACACACACACACATACACATACACACACACAGTTCCTGGTCCTATGAGCACTGGCTGCTGTTTGGGAAGAGATTTGATGCCAGGCCTCAGGAATAAGACAAGAAGCTGCCCTTCAAGGAAATCTAGCACACAGAAGCCTATAGAGATTAGCCTTGGGTCAGGCCCATATTCTAAGCCACTTAATCACATAGCTAAGTACAGCTTTGTCTTAGGGCAGGTCATCTGGGTAGCAATGTTCTGCAGTTTTCAAAGTGCCTAGTTTCTCCCTAGACAACTGACCCATACAAGCCCTTTCCTGTACACGTGCAACCCTTCAGTGGCTTCCTTGTTCTATAGACACACCAAGCCTATCTACAGCTTCAGAAGTATGCCCTGGCTCCAGTCCAGTGTGCACAGTCTCCATTGAGCTGTGCTTAGTACAGTCAGACAACACTGGCCCTATAGCCTTAGGTCTTGAACAGGTACCCTAGCTCATTCACAGAGTGATACCAGAGTGGGCATGTCTGCCTCTCTCTTCCTCTAGAAGCCTTCTGTCCCTTTTGGGCTCTGAGAGGAATGAATATAAAGTATAGGGTCTACAGTCGTCCTGACATCCAATGAATTTACTTCTCCTTTGTCAGGGTCTCCAGCTAGACTCTGAATGTACCTTCAGCATTCAGCCATCTCAAGTGGTTGTAGGTGCCATAGGGAAGACATCCTTCACACTGATAGAGTGTAAGCAACCTCTGGGAAACAGCTGGTTAAAAACTTTTCAGAATTTCAGGTGTGCTGAGAGCTGGAGCCTGGTACTTCCACTCCTGGAAACCTAGCTTCACTGATAACTTTAAGTATGGAAAAGAATTCATGAATAAAAATGTTCAATTATGAGGCAATACCTCCGAAGTCCAAAACTAAAGAGACTAAATAAATGATCCACCAGCTCACTGTTAAATTCAATGAGAGAAGGATGGCATTTGTGTATCAGTAAGAAGACTGTTAATGGGTCAAGAGAAATACGTTGACTTACAAAGCTGTGTGGTAGAGAGCAAGAGTATAGTTTGTCTCTACAGGAGGATGTTACGGTCCATGCAAAGGTAATAAGGTGGTAAACTTGTGGTGTTTGGATGAATGAGGCCTTGGGAGGTGATGAGGATTACATAATCATTTGGGCAGAATCCCGTGATTAAGCTTTGATGGTCTTCTAAGAGGGAGACCCTAGCAGCTGGAGAGATAGCTCAGTGGTTAAGAACACTGGTTGCTCTTCCAGGACCAAGGCTCGAGTTCCAGTACCCACATGGCAGCTCACAACCATCTAGAACTCCAGTTCCAGAGGATCTGAGGTCCTCTTCTGACCTCCACTGGAACTGGGCATGCATATGCTGTACATTCATACATGCAGGCAAAACAGACACATACATAAAATAATGAGTAAATCTAAATAAAAAGGGGGGGGGTGGCGGTGCAGATCCTGGACACACATACACCATAGATCTTGATACATGATACCCTGTGTTGCCTCAAAATACAGCCCGCACACAGCAAGAAGGGCCATCCCCAGATGTGGACCTCTGACTTGGAACTAAAACCAAGAATCCCCTCTTTTCCTTATTTTTTAACAAACTTATTAAACAAAATAAGACATACATAAAAAACAGAACACACTGGAATTAACCAGACCCAATACATAAAGACTATACATAAAAGCATGTGCTCTGGAGACAAGTTAGGTATAGATTAGGGAAAACAGAATTATATAGTTAATAGGCAGAATTGGGGGTGGGGTACAGACTAGAATGGGAGGATCAAACTGAAAGGGGAAGGGAAAAAAGGAAACAGAAAGGGAATAACAGGAGGGACAATTAACACTGAGGACCACTGGAGGGGGTCACATGAAAACCCACTACTGTAGAAGTTTCTTAAAGTATATACATATGAAAGAAATCTAAATGGAGTCACCAAATAATGGAAGAGACAAATCCCCCAACTGGACATTTTTCTCTGCTAAGTGAAACTTCCAGTGCCAGGAATGGGTCACATCTAATTCAGTTGTAGGCCAAAGGCGTCCCAGAGAAAACCACCAACAACCCAGGGTATAGCCAAGGATATTGGTTGCTTTCTACAAATTGATGGGAAGGCCTTATTGCTAAAAACACTTACAGCCGGGCAGTGGTGGCGCATGCCTTTAATCCCAGCACTTGGGAGGCAGAGGCAGGTGGATTTCTGAGTTCGAGGCCAGCCTGGTCTACAGAGTGAGTTCCAGGACAGCCAGGGCTACACAGAGAAACCCTGTCTCGAAAAAAACAAAAACGAAAAAAAACAAACAAAAACAAAAAACAAAAAACCACTTACATATCTCTGTAACATACATCAAGCCTGCCTAACTAGAACCTTCACCCCTACAGACAAGTTTCCATGATACTGGAAGGTACTCTGCATGCTACCAAAGCAGAAAGGGAACCATAAGCCAGCTACAAACCCTGTGATCTACAATGGTAATCTGCTTGTATAACACACTTGTGCAATAGTTGAACAAACACTGTGGGAATAACCAACCTTGGTCTATCTGAATGGATTTAAGGTCCACTCCATGAGATGAAACCCATACCTGACACTTTACCGGTGGCAAAGAACCTGAGACTTTCTGCTATGCCACAGATCAGTGCTTTGTTCAGCCTCATCAGAGACTCTTTCTCCTGAAGTAGATGGGAACCAATAAAGAGATCTGGTCAGTACACAGAGAATGAGAGATGTCAGAGGAGTTGGACGACACCAAGGTACAAGGCCTCCTAGACACAACAGGACTGTGTTACCATGACAGGTCCAAGCTCGATAGGGTTCCAGCACTGAGAGGGAAAAACAGACAGAGCTTCATCAATAAGCAAGAAGCTATCTTCAATTGACAGCAGCTTGCAAAAGCAAACCTAGTTTTCTCCAACAGTCTCCTGCTATATTCAAGGACACCCCATCCCTGTGCCTAGCAGTAGATGGCCAATATAAAACAAACTCAATGGTATTGTGGATTGTGTTGTTTGTCACATATTGCTTTGTTTAGGCTTTTTTTTTTTTTTTTACTTTATTGGTCTTTTGTTTGCGTATCATGGGTTCCAATTTTGTTTTGTTTTTTTAATGGGTTTTGTGTGTCTCTCTGTGTTTTGGGTTTTGTTTTGGGATTTTTGTTTTAATTTGCCTGTTTGCTTTCTTGTTTTGTTTTTTTTCTCAAGACAGGGTTTCTCTGTGTAGCCCTGGCTGTCCTGGAACTCACTCGGTAGACCAGGCTAGCCTCGAACTCAGAAATCCGCCTGCCTCTGCCTCCCAAGTGCTGGGATTAAAGGCGTGCGCCACCACTGCCCGGGGCCTGTTTGCTTTCTAAGGAGAAAAAGAAAGCAGGAGTAGTTTGGTGGGTGGAGATGGGGAGAGCGAGCCTGGGAGAATCAGAGGGAAAACAGTCAGAATATATGAAAAAATTTCCAATTAAACAAACAACAGGGCTGGAGAGATGGCTCAGTGGTTAAGAGGACTTGCCACTCTTCCAGAGGTCCTGAGTTCAATTCCCAGCAACCACATGGTGGCTCACAACCATCTGTAATGGGATCCGATGCCCTCTTCCGGTGTGTCTGAAGAGTATACTCACACACATTAAATAAATAAACAAATAGATAAATAAATAAAAATTAAAAAAAAAACAAAAACAAAATCAGCATGCACAAAATTAACTAGGCCCAAAGTCTATACATAAAGAGCATGCACTCTAGAAAGAAAACTCTTCTCTCTGAGGCCTACTCTGTCACTGAATGCAACTGTTCCCCTACTAGCAATAGGAATTAAAAGATTCCCCTAAAAATCCACTTGGGGATTTCTTCTTAGTTTTCTTTCAACTTGGGGAAAAACTCATATACTCTGATGATTTGGCAGCTATCCCAGCCGTATATAGCTTTGCTTGTTGCTTTTGTCTGTTTTCTGTAGATCAGTAGGTGAAACAGAAG